GACGCCTCATCAGATCGATAGTTTCAAAGTTAATTTTTGTCGTATGGAAAGTATTTTCAGTTCATGTTCAATTTCTCTAAATCTTTGCTCGATATTATAGAAAACTCTCTGTTGGACATCATTATAAATAGTATATTCGTGCGATACATACTTTTCAAAATAACATAAAACACGACTTACCATTTGTTGCTCTAATTTCTTTTCTTCAACTATCAGCAATGGTAAAAAATATCTTTTCAATGCTCATACCTTCTTATATCCACACATGCAAATATTATTGATAAGAACTTGACTTTCGTAACCGAAATAATAAACAGAAATTGCATAAGAGAGATTTTAACAAAGAAACATGTATTTGAAAATTTTAAATAAAAAAATTTCTCGTTTTCTATTGAGATTTATTCTGTCCTCAATCTGCGAAAATCCCACTAATATATGAAAATTTTGTCACATGTTATGAGGGGCACCTTTATTCAATTCTTTTCTATGCTCGTTCTAACACGAATAAATGGAAAAAATAACTACCAGCAAGATAAGAAAGAATGTCAACAGAAACAAGAAGACACTAACAACTAAGAGAAGTGTGAAGGCATGTGGTACTCATGCCTGTAACACAGTTACATCCATGTTTGACTTGATCATCAGCACAGATGACAGAAGTAGACGGTTTCAATTTACCGTTGTTTAAAAGTCTCAAGATATTTTAATGAAACGAGTTCTTTTCAAACTGTGCACTGTTGCACAGACTTCGACTCGATTGGCGTTTACATTTCCGTGATTTACAGAACCTCGAGCTAGTTTAAAACTTCAGAGTGCAGAGTATTTAGACTGTGCTACATTCTTTTTGTAAGAGATCTCGAAAGGAATTTTGCAAAAAATCCTGAGCTTTTCCGAAGGGATTTCTGGAAAAACCTATTGAGAAAAATAGGCTTGTTCGATTTTCTCAATCTTATAATCACGTTTATCGGACAACATTAACCATATCCTGAGATTCTGAACATGTTCTGATGCTTTTTGAATGAATAATGAATTTTTTAATATTAGGTAGAAAAAACTCTAATTTTCGTAAAACTCAATTTTCGGTTTTTAAAATCTTTTTACGATCAAATATTAACACGAGAGTCAGCATGGTCGATTGGCCATACTTCATCCACCCTCAAGCCTACCAATGGTTATCGGGTGCCGGTTCTAGCAGTCGCAAGAAATCCGCTACAGCTCTCGAATTGCGAAAAAAATCAAAGCCTAGCTTGACTCTAATTTTGAAGAGGACACTCCGCCCTAACAGTCTACGAAAAAATCAATACAATCCTATTGGAGGATTTCTACGTACGGCCTAGTTTTTCAAAGAACTCCTCAAAAATCTGTTTCAGAGAAACTCTTCTGAAACATTTTTGGTTATGGAAACATGCCCTCAAGTCTACTCTTTCGAATGGTGAAAACCAGTCTAACTCTTTTGTATAAAACGGTATTCAGAAAACAGTCATGTATCGTTCTTTTTTGGATGGATAATACTATGTATCATTGAATAAAGTGCAAGGTGAGAGTACAGCCGCTTATATGTTGTGTTATGCAGAAGCAGGAAAGAATAACAGCAAATGTGCAAACAATTCACCAAAATCACTTAAAGTTGAAGCAGGCAGGTATCATCATTATCAGACTGTTTCTTGTACAAATGTTTTCAGCTAATATGGATGAACGGTTAAAAAAAGACCGACCTAGATACTAAATAATTCTTGTATTTTCACCCTTACTTAGATACATCTGAGAATATAGATCCGAATGTTCACACTAGCCGGATCAATACTTCCTTGCGACCACCGACGCAACCTCTTGGCAAACGAAAATGTTAGTACGTGAATCGGAACACTGGTAGAGGATTTTTCTCTCTGCATTAGGTATAATAAATTCTGCCGAAAATATATCAACAAAAATGTGGAACGTTTCAAAAATGGACTCCCCTATCTGTTTTTTGAATAACTTTTGATAGAAAGTAGGTAAAGAGATGCGGTTTTCGCTGTTCGAGAGGGAACACAATTGTCGAAAAACAATTGTCTACGCATTTTTTCCAAGAAACTTTTTCCTCCAAAAGTTGTGAAATTAAATTTTAGACAAAAAAAGTCTGTAGACTCAATTTAAAAATCCGCTTTCTTCCTACGGAAAACACAGGAAAATCACTTGTCTGGACTAATTTTTCGGTTTTACTCAAGGCGAAAACGTTTTTTAAAACTAAGTCAAAAGATGTTTTTGTGTAAAATTTAATGTCACAGCTTTGATCGTGTACACTGAAACTCCTACAATCCCATCTTCATGATCAAAGTCTAAGAAAATCTATCTTTGTTTCTAAATACTAGCTTTCAGGAAAACTTGTCTAGGAAAAAATGCGACGACAATTGTTTTTTTAAAACTTTTAATATAAATTGACATGATTTGAAAAAGAAAGTTTTTGCCAAATTTATGAAAACCAATTATTCTAAAACTGGTGACCAGTTAAAACCAGTTAAAACTGGTGACCAGTCGGACTGACACCAATCCTAACTGGTGACTGGCGGGATTGGTAACAATCCTAACTGGGTGCGGCGAGTACTCGAAGACAGGCCCTCGCCGAGGGCTCGAACCCTCGGAAAATAACTTCGGATCCTTGATATAAGCTTTCGAGGGGTATCTGTTTCGAGCTCTCAGATTTCCGATAGATAGCGAGCACCGGAGAAAACTTTCGAGCCGTCGAATAGAGATGTTTTTTTTTGCAGACAAGTTGATGAAATATCCTTTTTGCAAGTTACTTAGAGTAAACTGGGGCAATTGGAAACAATTTTTGGCTCCTTGAACTTCTAATTCGTATAAATTTGTTAATTTTAATTATCTTTTTGCTCCCTTTTTACAGGTAGGTTCTCTATAAGCCTATCTAAATATTTTCAAAAACTCAGTATCCAGCGAACTTCCCGGTATTTTGCTGAAAGCTCTAACGAACATTTCCACTTACCCCACTTCGGGCAGCTGGAAAGAACAATAGAACTTAATGGAGTAATTGGATACGCCATGTATTTTACACGGGAAATAATTCATAAGTACACAAATATTATGTGTTGATTGAAATTTAAATGATACAAAATATGGCATAGAAAAAATATAATTATTTGTGCAAAAAATATTCATATTAAAATTATATCTGAATGGAATGTTTCGGGATTAAATGGTTTACCAACAAGTGTTAAATATTTTGCTACAATATACGTAGCAACCATCCTCTGGCAAAAATATTGATAAAAATATTATCTTTAGCAGAAATTCCATTTTCCGCTTGATTATTAGATCCATCTCCAAAACCGTTTTGACCATCTTAAAACCATTTCCATCTGTTCCATTTGTTTCTTCTTCTTTATTATCGATTGAAAATTTAATTTTTCCACCAAAGCCTCCTTCACCTGAAAATCCTCCAATATCACTAAAACCACCTGGTTGTCTTTGTTGCCGAAGTTTTCCTTTATAAATACAATAGACAAATTTATCTCCCTGATCACCATCAGTACCTTTAATTAAGATGGCTAGTCCAACACTACTTGCCATCTCATATCTGTTCATTATACTATGTCCTACATGATAGTAATGGTAATATGAAAATATGTTAATCCTTTACCATTTGCTCTATTTGCATCTTTTTTACCCATTCTACCGTCTTGTTCATAACCGTCATTTCTTCCATTTGAAATAATATTTAAATTATTTTTATCTATTATTGATTCGCAAATAATGGAAATATTACCACCAGATTCACCAGCACTA